AATGAATTTGAAAAATGGGCTTGGTCGGCCTCGTATTTTTCTTCAAACCAAGACTGCCATAGTGTACATTTGTGTAGTTTAGCAATAACCTTTTTTCTTTATTTTTTTTCTTCTTAATTTGATTTTGATTTTTGGTTTTTTGATTTTTTTTTCCTATTTTCTTATAAATATTGGAGCATAGATGGAGGAGGATGGGGAGATAAATGAAGAAGCTGAAGGAAAGGATGCAGTGAAGGATACATCTCTGGAAGAAACGTCTGGAAGTGATGCAGCCTACCAGAACGATGGGAAACAAGATCATTTGCGGCAGAGCAGTTCATTAAGATTGGATGGAAATAAAAGAGCAGCTAGGATGGTAATTTCCGTGTATTCTTTTATCTTTTAGTCATCTAACTGATGCTTTGGTTTGACACCGCACACCAGAAGTCTCACATTTCTGTTTAATGTTCTCTATTAGGATTTCGAAGTTCCACCTGCAGAGCATGTTCCAAGGGTATTGCCTAAGAATGAGGATCCTAGCTTAGTTAGCAGGAACAAGAGAATGCTGGGTCAGCTTTTGGGAACGCTAGAGGTATGCGTAAAACAATTGATTGGGTTAAATTCCTCATGCCTTGCATCATTTTTCCAGCTTCAATTCTCTAATTTTCGCACTTGAGAGAAAAGGGTAGAAAATATGATCTTTTTATTAACAACTCTCTTATCTTCGCACTTGGGTTAAATTCGTTAGAGGTATGTGTAAAATAATTGGTTGGCGGGTTGCTTATTTAGGGCATCATATTCACCATTTTGGTGCTGATCCATTTCCTTTGTATAAATCTTCAGAGATTCAGGAAAGAAGACAAGCAACTTTCAGGAACTGAAGCTTTCATGAGAAGAACAGATTCCTTACAAAGAGTGAGTTATTATATGTTCTTTTGTAAAATTTAACTTCCCAGTACGTTTGAGGTTGATTTCTCCTTTTGATAATTTTTTAAAGGCTGAGCAAAGAGCACGAGAGGAAAGTGAAAGATTGAGGCAGCAAGAGCGTGAACAAATTGCAGAGAAACGCAAGAGAGATCTGGTTTGTAATTCAATGAAAGTCTAGATTACTTAAATATTTATGAGATTTGAATCTACAATTATTGGTCTTTTTTAACCACTTCTATCTTCCACTTCTTAGATGCTCAGAGCTCGCGTGGCTGCCAAGGCAGAAGAAAAGAAGTTGGAATTACTTTTCCTTCGATGGAGCGAGCACCATAAGAAACTTTGCAATTTTACAAGGTCTGGTTGTGTTTAATTTTCATGAAAGCATTTGCTATTATCACTTCCGAGATTACCGAGCTACATCATTGATCTAACTTTTCTATTTATGCAGGTTATTTTTAATTTTGGTCCAAAAGTGTCCATATTCACATTTTATTGAGACAAAGATAAGTTTCTGTTCATGAATAGTGTTGAACTAAATTCATGGGTTTTGATTAAAATGATATTAAAGAATGCTGACCTTACCAATGGATGTTTCCTTTTCTGCTGGAACTTAAGTTACATTCGAAGGTTTCTTTTTCCTTATAATAGGACTCCTCTTTTGATTTTGAGGGAACATTTTCACCAATTTTGTATTTTCCAGGACAAAGACAGAACCTTCAATTTATTACTTGCCAAATAAACCATTGGACGACGACGCAACCTTGGCCGAGCAGCGAAGAGAGGAGGTTAGATATTTTCTTGAAAAGGCAATTTTACTTGGATTTCTTTTGCAAGAACCTAATGCTACTTGAATACTCATGTACCCTTCAACCAAATTGAGAGATTTTGTTTGATTTTATTGTTTGATTCCAACCATAGTCGAGTCTCGTTTGTTACTGAACTCTTTTGTGGTGGGGAAATTATTTAGCGAGGCTGCCACAGTGTGGTTGGCTGTTTTTTTTACCATTGGATACGAGAGAAAAATATCTTGAATTTAAATCCAGTGATTATCATAGTCGAATAAATGTTTTAATCTACATTCTATGATTATTATGAGAACTAAATCATCTTGTGGGTGGGGGGGTTTCTTGTTGATTGTTCCATTGGGAATACACATCGTCGATAACGTTAGCTTTTACCGGGTTCACATTTTTTTATCACAAAAATGCATTTCAGGCTTTTATGGAGTGGAAAGCCTCCAGAATGGAGGAGCTATCTGAGTATCAGAAACAGATAGGAGAACAGTATATTGCTAATGTTGAGAAGGACTTGGAGAGGTGGCAAAATGCAAGGAGAGCAAGAAAAGGAAACAACGACGTATCGAATTTGCAGGAAACCATGGACAAAGAATTGGACACCCATAGACTTGAGCATGGTCCAAAGAAAAGGAACATCCCTGGTGGTAGCAACAACGAGGACGAAGATGATGTGGAAGATATTAACGTTGGGGAGGATGACATGATAGACGACGTACTCGGTGTCGAAGATAATGGGCGCAGGGGCGAGGAAACAGCAAAACCCGAAGCTGATGTTGCGAGTCCAAAAGCTGCTGAGAATACTGTGGAGTAGAAGTAAGTAGTACCTATTTGATTTCATGCAGTAGTCCTTTGTTTGTGTTTGTTTGTATCCTGCAATGATTTGTCTTAATAGTTTTGTTCTTCTTGCCTTCTAAATTATTGTTTGTGTTTCTAAATCTTACCAATGGACTCCACACACTCTTTCATTCTACTTTTTTCTCAGCCTTTATAGAATTGTTAGGATGCTCAGTCACCATGTTATCTTCTGTATCTTCTCTTCTCCTTGTTAGGAATCACGACTCTTCACAATGGTATAATATTGTTCATTTTGAGTATAAGCTCGTATGGCTTTGCTTTGGGTTTCTCCAAAAGACTTCGTACCAATGGAGATAGTATTCTTCACTTATAAACCCACGATCTTCTACTAAATTAACCTATGTGGGATTCGCTTCCAATAATCCTCAACAATCCTCCCCTCAAACAAAGCACACTATAAGCTTCCCTTGAGGCTTATGGAGCTCTTGAATGGACTCCTTTCTTTAGAGCCTTCGAATAAAGTACACCTTTTGTTCGACACTTTAGTCACTTTTGACTACATCTTCGAAGCTCACAATTTTTTGTTCGATATTTGAAGATTCTATTGACAAGGTTAAGTTTAGGGTATGACTCTGATACCATGTTAGGAATCATGACTCTCTGTAATTGTATGATATTGTTCACTTTGAGCATAAACTCTTATGATTTTGTTTTGGACTTCCCAAAAAGCCTCATACCAGTAGAGATAGTATTCTTCACTTATAAACTCATGATCTTCCACTAAATTAACCAAGTTGAGACGTACTCCCAATAATCCTCAACACTCCTTGACCTCCGCCACAACCACGGTGACGGCGACTGCGATGCATCGGTCAACATTCGGTTGTCGTCAACTGCAGTGAATCCGAACAAAGTCGGAATCAAGTAGGGTGATTGGAAGTTTACAGTGATGTACCGTTAGGGAAAGCGGTAGTTCCTGGGTTTTACCAAGAGGCGCAGTCAGAGAGAGATGGAGGCGACGATTGCCGTGGATCGAGTGAATTTTCTTCAAGGCGACGCCGGTGATCTGATCAGAGACGGTTCGTTGAACGATGGAGTGAGGGTTTTGGGGGAAGTTGGCGCCAGGATTCGCGTCCTGGACTTCGATTCTACCGGCATCCAGGTCCGTTCCTTTCACTTCCCCCCCCCCCCCCCCCCCCCCCCCCCC